ATAACCCATATCCAATTCCTTTTCCCTACATCCAATGGGAATTTATTTAAAATTAATTACATTGTTGGGTTATAAATTGATAACTAGAAAACGAAAGAACAGTTAACCTGAAGAGTCTTGAACAATAATGTGGTATTGAATTGCATTTCCACTCAGGTCTTGTGTAAAGCTTCCATAAAAAAACGTGCATCCAGTATTGTTGGCATTATTGCCTCTGGTAGTAACACCAACACAATCACAATCTTTCCAGCAGATGTCCATGCAATCACTAATGCTAAGACTAGAATTATAGTCGTCCTTACTAGGAACTGTGTTAACAAAGTAACCTCGTCTCAATTCAAAACTGTTCCGATTTCTCCTGCATGCCGGTCCTGACCACCTTTCGCAACCACCATCTTTATTATTTCCTTTACATGATGAGCGTCCATATACTCGTCCAGTACTTAGATCTTCTATGCCCCCATCAAATCTCAACTGCCACATTGAAAAATTCCTTTGACCCTGAGGAGTAAATTGATTTGCAGAAACTGTGAACATAAAGCAATCCTCGTCTGCGTTAGAAATATTAATAAAACTGAAATCAAGAACCGCTGCATCCAGAAAAGGAATTTCGAAACTAGTATTGCTCCTCAATGGTCCGGTAGTCCAATAAATTACATCTCGCCGCTTAATGACCAACTTCTTTCCATTAGTATCCCATTCAAAAGTGAAAGCACCAGTGGGAGTGGGTACTAAGTCGCTCAACCACGACATGAGGGACCAGGTTCGGCCAGTTCTATGGTTGATCCCTAACTTCATTCCAGGCAAGAATGTGTCAGTAGGAAAATCAAAGCTTTGCCATAAGACCTGTTGCTGCCAGAATTTTCATCTTTGAGAACAAAATTGCCTGAATCTTCTAAAATAGCTGTTATATTGGTTGCAGAAGATTGACTTGAATAGAACTCAACAGGATCACCTCCAGAGTAGGTGAGTTTCATATTTCCTGATCCATCAATTGCAAGAACCCCTGAATTGTCTGCTATGGGTTTGCCTCTGTTGGCTAGCCAAAAAGGGTGGCTTGTGTCATTGTTGTACGATATTCCCAAGTAGCTAGCATTCGGCTCGGCAGAGCCGAGTCTTGTGAATCCTAAAGTGAAGAGCCCATTTTTGGAAACTAGAGTAGTGGAAGAATTGAGGGAATCACCACCTTGGTACAGTGTGTTGTGCTGCCAAAGCGTGATAGCCGCATAAGCAGAACAGAAGGAACCGGTAGATCCAGCTAGCCATGCAAGGTAACATTCATGAACAAGGAAGAAAAAAGTAAGAAGCATTTAATAGATGATGAGCTATAATTCTAGATTTACTGGAAAGAAAATAAAAAGGTAGCCAACAAGTTTATACCTCGTTAATCAATGAAATCTGTTGAACTTTTTTTTTCTTTTCTAATTTATCAAAAAACTGAAAGAAGAACAAAAAATAATTAAGAAACCAATAAGAAAAGAAGGCAAACAAGAAAAGGTTTTGTTGACAATGGTCAACAGAGGGAACACATTTGTACAACGAGAAACTTGCTAGGAAATTGTTGACTGTTTCGTAGGAAAGTTTGGGATAAATTAGACAATTACAGGAAAGTTTGGGATAAATTAAGCAATTAGCATACAAAATAAAAACAAAAGGACAATTTACACAACAAACTTTTTGATGTTGCGATTCTGAATCGCGACATTTAATTGACGTCACGGGTTAGAAACATGATATTTATTTAAATATCATGGTTGTTAACCGCAACATCAATTAAATATTACAGTTCACATCCGTGATAAAATTTTAATTGATGTCGTAGTTCACAAACACGACATCAGTTAATTCCAGTACTCTTAAGAAGAAAGAACCAATCGATCGAATGATTTGGGCTCATCAATAGCACGACTAGATCCATCTCTTACCCCTGTTTAAGTGAACTCGTCCTTTGCCATGACATCATCAAGAGTTAACCTCTCTCCAAAGGTTTCAAGTCTAGTGCAGCAAACATTGAATCACAGAGACATATAGGTGTATCCTTCATTTTCTTCGTCAATATTACAAAGCACATATGCAGCCTCTCGACCCTCCCATAACATGAAGCCAACCTAATATTAATAAATCATTAATGTTAAATTACACTACCAGAAATTCACCTAAAACCAACGGAATTACTGATGGAATAATTCTGTTGGTAAATTGTGTTGATAATTATCGACGGACACTGTTCCATTTGTAATTTTGTCAATATATACCGATGGACTAATGTTGTCAGTATATACCGACTGATTTACAGACAAAATATATAGAATTTAAAAAAAAAGCGGTTCGATGACGTGGAAGTTTTTGCTAGCGATTTTACCGACATAATGACCGAGGGATTCAAACCGGAATCTCCGTATAGTGACGTGACCAATTCACCGTTAAAATTACTGATAGAATCACCAACAAAAGACGTCTAATGGTGATTCCATCATTAAAAGTTAATATATCACCATTATATCATCCCTCTCCTCCACTATTTCTCCTTCTTCTTCCCCATCCCAATTATCTCATATCCTCTGTCCT